GAGTCAGGGCAGAGCCTGCCTCTTCCTGTGTGCGTTTCTGAGCCTCTCCTGAGTCGTGCAGCACAACAGGGCCGTGTCTGATTCCTCTTCCTGCCTAGAGGGGGCACTTCCAGGGGAGGGAACAGAAAAGGGAGACGGAGCCTCTGCCAAAGTCAGAGCAAACAGATGGGCTGACTTCACGCCACCACATTCATCAGGCAACCTCCTAAAATGGGCTAGCCACAGGGCATCTAAAGTTCACACATCCTTGGTGGGGCAGCACGGACTCAACAAGCTGGCCGCTGTTTTCTGTCACTAGATGGATCACATTTCTTCCGTCTGATGCCCACACGAGTGTACCAACTGGGCCGCTCCCTGCACCAGATGGGGGCACTGGAGTCTGGTCATTCCCAAGATGAGCTTACTGTTGAGGAGCTTTACAAATAGACTGGTTTCTGTAGTGAATTTATTTATTAAAATGGCTTCTAATAGATAGATCTATCACCAACTCCAGGATAGATAATTCATAGATTCTAAAAGGCCTATTTTGTTTAGTTTCTCAGCCATAGAGGCATAAACAGTAATTTTCATCTCCACAACTTGAATTCTAAAAGCTATGCTTGCTTGGCCATCCTCAGGTTTCTGTGACAAATTTGCTATGGACTGAAATTGTCTCCCCAACCCCCACCAGATTCATATGTGGAAGACTTACCCCCAATGTGATGATGCTTGGAGATGGGGACTTAGGAGATAGTTAGGTTTAGATGAGGTCTGAGGGTGGGGCTCTCATGACGGCATCACTGCCCTTATTAGAACACCAGAGCTCGCGCTCTCTGCCACGTGAGAACACACAGGAGGTGGTCTGCAAGCCAGGAAGAGCGCCCGCACTAGAACCTGACCGTGCTGGTACCCTGATCCTGATCTCAGGCTTCCAGCCTCCAGGACTGTGAGAAAACACTTTTCTGTTGTTTAATCTGCCCAGTCCCTGGTATGTTGTTATAGCAACCCAAGCTAAGACAAAAATTCAGAGAAAAGCCCAGAAAATGATTTTTCTTTCCTCCTTCCCTCCTGATGGCTAGGAAAACTATCGTGGTTTCTTATCCTCAGAGCACTTACCATGCTTCACAATTCTCATGCATTCACCTGCTCAGTGTCCAGCTCCTATGTGGGTCATGTCTGTGGAGGGTCAGGGAGTGGACACCGTGCTTGTCCTGCTCACTGCTGTAGCCTCAGCAGCTGTAACCATGCTTGGGTCATAGCAAGCACTTGGTATTCCTAGTTTTTGCTGGGAAGGAGCAGAAAACCGGAGGCCAAGAAATGGAAGTAAAAGGCTGATACCTCCAAGGAACTCAAGAGAAGCTGGGCTGTCAGTCCTGAGGCGAGAGGCAGCTGGACTGAGCCTGTGCCCTCCTTCTCACCGGTCACACTAGCTACAACCTCTTTCCTATCGAACTTTGCAATCGGGGCTGAAGGTCTTAGAGATACAAAGGCGACCTTCACTTTACAAACAAGGAATTGGATACTCAAAGAGGTATTCAGTAGTTACCAAGCAGTAAAATGAAGTTTTCCCCTTTTGTTTCCAGTTAGTCCTGAAATATGCGAGCAGCTGACAGGAGACTGTGATGTCACTTCCTTTTTGTGACTTCTGCACCAACTTTGTCAGTTCACTTACCTATTTCTGCAGCTTGAGAATGAGAAATCTTGATCGAGCCTGTTAAGTTAAATGCCCAACCATATCCAATTCCGGACTAACTAAGCAACACAGGGAGGGCTAGCAGTTCTATCATTAACTTAGAAGCTGCGTCAGTGTTAATGGCTCCTGAGTTAGTCCTAAACATTCCTTTAAAAACCAGTATTTCCATGAACTTTCAAAAATGTAGTGATTACTATTAAATGCTACACCCTCTACTCCTATAATGCTCCTTCTTCAAAATGATGCTTTCTATTAGACGAAGCCTGAAGAGGACTCGAAAACCTAATGAGAAATGGCCTGTACGAAAATGGCTGGTTTTCTGATTAGGACAGGGGCAAATGCTCAATTTTATTCAATCTCCATGACAATTCATTATTCTATACTTTAAAAATGGCTTCTGAAAGCAAAACCCCTCTCAAAATCATAAAATTCCCCATATAATTTAGATCACAATGAAACTAAACCACTTACATCAGCCCAGAACTGTATCTTTAGCTCTTAAAAACGGACAGAAGGGCAGACACACAGACCTCTGGTCACTGAGGACCATTTGGCAGGGTCTCTTACCTGCAAGACTGCAAATACGTAATGTTACACGGATCCAGAGAAAAACTTTAGTAGGAAATTCCAGTGGCTATTAGCTGCCAAAGTCACCTTGCTGTTCTAGATAAAATCTGTGCACATCCTCTGATTTAATCCACAGAAGCCTAATCACTCAATTACTCACAAGCTTCACACATCTTAAGTATTCCTTACACTGAAGAGTCTAGGAATTTCTATCATTTTCAACCTTCACTTTAGTATTTTCTCTCTCAAATTGCCCGTACATAGTTAGTAGTTAATATTTAAAGATTGTTTGTGTTGAATATTTCAGGATAACAGACACCCCGCAACAGAAGACAGCATTTTTATTTTAATGAAAGGAGAAACTGTGGAGATACCCAAGCGAAAGCCTATTAACCTTATTAATTTTCTCACACTACAGTGAGAAAGCGATGGGAGACTCTTCAGCCAATAAAAATGCCTATAACAGTTCCTTCTGGAAGGTCCCCTCCCAAGCCACTGTTCCGAACTTAACAGTTAGTCTGTTCTCTACCTCAGATTGGAGCTACTTCTTTATTTGAAAATTTTATATTGCAGGGAGGGGGGAGAAATTTGAAAGTAGGTATCACAAAAAGAACAAGAGAAAGGGTACTGCTGATAGCAAGGCAAAGGGTCAAGACCAAATAGCCACTGTAAGACGTTTATCAGCCCTTTTGTCTAAATTAAACATATGGCCTTCTGCTCTCCACTGTACATGAACACTCAAGCTGGGAATGTGAGATACTTGTGAATGTTCTGAGCATAGCATATTTTATCAAAAGCACTTAATTTTATTAAAAGCTCTTATTTTCAACTCACTTTTTACCTTTGAACTTTTAATGCATAACCTATATGAAATGACATCTCCGGCAGCTGTAGTAAAGAGCACTGGGAAGTTCCAGGTTTGAGTCGCAGCTCTAACAGTGAGCAAATCACAGCCTCTACTTGTTTGCAAAACAGGGGTTGGTGGGGTAAACACCTGCCTCACGGGCTGCTGAGCATTCTGTGAGAGATCTTTGCAAATTGCTCCATGAGTGCTAGGTGCTTCTATTTAGACACTGGCCTGGAGATTTAGGACATTCCACCCAAGAGAACTGAAATTTTATAATTTTAATATGCTATTTGAAAAGTATAAGTACAGTATGAAGAATCTAAAGTAACCAGGCAGTTCCATTCATGACTCCAATAAAAGGATGAATTGTAACATGTTTTTTGTTTTAAGAACTGAGGCGGCCTACCAGCATTTGAGAATTTCTCAGTGGGTCTCAAGTCTTTCTCTGTCCATTTCCACAATTACTCTGGTCTCTCTCTCTCAAGGAGTCAAAGGTATTCAATACATTTGCCTTTACAAGTCAATGTGGAATTTGATGTTTACATAAAAGTTAAAAAATTCCCTAATGGAAATATAAAGTGTTAAACATGCACTAATCTTCAAGTATTGGTCTCTGCCACACGAGCAGGCACATTCTGGTAGAAAGCATCAGAGAGACGGACAGGCTTCTTGAGAAGACATTACAACAGGGAGATGGTTAACTAAGGCCTAATATTTCCAACCAGAATTTTAAATCCTCACTCTTCCCTTCCCTGAATCTGTTTGAGAGAGAAAAAACCCCACACAAAACAACAACAAAAACAAACTCCAGTAACTATCAAAATATTCAAAGAAATAATAGACTTCTTTTAAGACTCTTGTCCTCACGTTAATAGGATCAGAAAATTAATTTGTCCTTTGCCACCAAAGGTGTTATAAGTTTATGTTTATTTTAGAGAGATGTCTAAAACCCTAGAGGAACCCCTGAGGCCAGTACAAAGAGGCATAGATTACAATGTGGGCAAAAAAGTACTAAGCCTGGATTTCTTTTCAATTTTCAGGCTGACCTTTGTCATTTCTTTTGCAATCAAAACAACCTCATAGAGATGACTGTCTTTTATTATGAAAACTGCTGTTACATTACAGCCAACATTCCAAAACAATATTTTAATAAACACTTGTCTTGATTATAAAGTTGAGCAGAAACCATGATCCTTTTTCAAAACCGATTAACATCTGCTGATGTTTAACAATTTAGGAAACTCCGTATGCTCACCATGTGTTCAGATGAGATGAGGGAGAGCACCTATGTTATTCAAAACAACTACTAGTGTTATTTGTACAGTATAAACCGACCACTTACGACATTAAA